TTTACTACACTCCGATCTTCAGGGACTACTTCTGGAGAATTCTGGAAGAGTTCCGAACTGAAAATGTCCAGTACATAGAGCTAAGGAGTGGTTTACAAGGGGTGAGTGTTTTATCTGCCAAGACGCAGAGTCGCACACCTATTTAGGCAAAATGTAATAAATAAACACACCATGTACTTACCTATTTGGGCAGTAATGTAGATAAAGATGGAGGAATTGACCTAATGATTGAAACATGAATACAAAAGTCAAGAGGAGTTTTCATAGCAGAAGGAAACTTCTGAGATTTAAAGGAAATTAAAAATTACACTAAACATAAAATTTGTAACTTAACTGTCAAAACAGTACTGCTATGCGGAGCGGAGACATGTAGAACAATTGAAACAGTTACTATACTGTAAAAACAGTAGTGCTGTACGGAGCAGAGACATGTAAAACAGATGAAACAGTGACTGTACTGTCAAAACAGTAGTGCTGTACAGAAAGGAGACACATAGAACAAATGAAACAGGTACTATACTGTCAAAACAGTACTGCTATACGGAGCGGAGACACGTAGAACAATTGAAACAGTTACTGTATTGTCAAAACAGTAGTGCCGTACGGAGAGGAGACATGTAAAACAAATGAAACAGTTACTGTACTGTCAAAACAGTAGTGGTGAACAGAGCGGAGACACTTAGAACAAATGAAACGGGTACCATACTGTCAAAACAGTACTGCTATACGGAGCGGAGACATGTAGAACAACTGAAACAGTTACTGTACTGTCAAAACAGTAGTGCTATACAGAGCGGAGACACGTAGAACAAATGAAACAGGTAATATACTATTAAAACAGTACTGTTATACGGAGCGGAGACACGTAGAACAATTGAAACAGTTACTGTATTGTCAAAACAGTAGTGCTGTACGGAGCGGAGACATGTAAAACAAATGAAACAGTTACTGTACTGTCAAAACAGTAGTGCTATACAGAGCGGAGACACGTAGAACAAATGAAACAGTTAATATACTGTCAAAACAGTACTGCTATACAGAGCGGAGACACCCATCCTGGTACCCATTTTAGGCGGGGCCTACGTGCGGTGCCCCATACTATGTTAACAATCCACACAGCCAGCAGTGGGTTTTGATCGCGACACGTTGGAATTACGGGTAGGACTCGCAACGCCTAAGCCATATACGCGAAATTAATGATAATAGAGCGAAGTTCGGCCATGTTATGAGAAGAGGGAAAATAGAACATGCTGGAAAGATCTGTGGAAGGAGGGTTACAGGAAGACAACGAGAGAAGATTCTTGACAGTCTTGTTGCATGGCATGGAGGGGTGTCGGCACACGAACTGATACATGCTGCAGGAGATCACAGATTTTGGATAGCCCACGCCAGTCGGCAAGTCACCTGACGATGACGAATAGTGCGAATTAACGGTATGCCAGAATTAATAATGCAACGCTTTGGGAAAGAATTATACACATACCAGTGAATCCAAAGGCGAGGAAAAGACGCCGTCGTTGCATAGGACATACCTAGAGAAAACCAGAGAACAATATAACAAGCAAGGGCATTAAACTGGAGCCCACAGGGGCATGGCAATAAATGCGGACTAAAATACACGGAAAAGAGAGCGACATTCAGTGTGCTGCATACAATGGCGAAGGACAGGACGACTTTCTCCCTCAATGTTGAATATCTTCCAGAAGGTCGACTCACTCCTCGTTCAATAAGTTTTTAAAAGGAGTAGAAAATTAGAGGGAAGAGAAAAAGTTTGTAAGAAACAACAAACAGTTTATGTTAGCTTTACAAAATCGATCACAATAAACAAACAAAGGACGTTGCGGCGATTAGCCTTCATCAGCACATAAAGAACAATACAGTACACATACACAAATATACTCTAACTATAAAGTGACTACATGGTACTAATGTACACAATAAATGATACTCATCTGTGTTCCTGGCGAAAAACTTCCTTCAAAAGGATGACAAGGACAGGTACTGGTGAATTTATCACCAACTCATCATTAAGTTACCTTCATGTTTATTTCTATGGTTACGCACTGTGTTGTATTTAGTGAGGTTAGAATCCTCCCAATCCGCCTAAACCAGGACCATCTTAACTCAGGAGCCCGTTGGTTACTTGACCGAGGGCCCCACCAGTTTTGGGGCCCCATACTTCTCTATGTATGTCAAAATGCTTGCCATAAATAAACATTCAACTCCTGTGAGTGGTTGTCGAAAGTGGCTCTACCATCAATTTGGTGGGCCTATCCTGCCTAATTTGTGTCCATTTGAAAAAAAAAGTTTTTTCTTTCAATTTCCAACTGCCTAGTGATTTTCTTTTTATGTGCGCAACAACACACACGGGCTTCCGATCTCACTACCCAGAGACCAGGAAAAATTACCAGAAATCCACATACATACATGGATATGAATGAAACCAATAAGCGCAGACAACCATCTGTATTAAAAAAAAAATTGTTTGCACGTTTACCACACGCACATCAAAGTGTTCCATGTGCCAGCGAAAACTAATATTAAACAGCGCCCACCATTCCCTGTAACAAGTGACAATTACAGACAGCAGCCCTGATAAAACCAGCAGCAATCGCAGCGGCGTCAACAGCAACATTCTGCCATTAGAACTGCAATAAAAAAAAAAAAAAACATGCATATACATAAAAATGAACAGAACCAAACAGCACACAGAACCACCTGCACGTACCAAAAAAAAAAAAAAATACCTAATACCTAATTCATTTATAAACCATAATACATAATATGAAAAATAACAAAAAATAAAAATGTGTACGCTACATTTTTGTGTGTGTTAATTAACAACACGTAGGTAGGAAAGTTTCGGCTCTGTGGCTAAGTCGATGAGAACGCTTCGTAATGCCGGGATGACGGGTTCGATCCAGCTGCGGACCATGCGCATTGTGTTGGTTTCGACAGTGGTATCAAGAAAGCTGACCGTCCAGTAAGCAATGGCAAACTACTGGACGTAAATTAGCCTAGAAAAATCACAACAGCCCACAACAGCCATGGGCTGTTGGGGTTGGTTCTGCAACGTCCTGTAAAGGATACGTAACTAACCAAGGTAGGAAAGTGATTATGGCATAAAGAAGACTTATAGGTTTCATTAATGTCTGTGGAAAACCAGAGTTTTTAAGTACGTGACTGCCGTATTTTGTCTTCCCCTTTTCAAGTTTCCCTAATTACCAGTTCAGCCAAGCATTTGTTCTCTTCACTGTTGACACAATCAATTCTGTTCTCCCTGTCCGAACGGTAGGTCTTTGACTTGGACGGCACGGTTCACGACGCCGAGTTTGCCGTTCAGATCTACCAGAAGACAGTTCAAGAGTTTGTGCAACGGTTCCCAGATTTCAGCGGTGCCCGGATCATCATGTCTGGCGTTAGGTGAGCAAGAAATATCGGCACTAATTTAGACTTTTGTATCTACATAGCATCAGGGATACCAACACAAAGAAAACAGTGTATGTGTGTGTGTGTGTGTGTGTGTGTGTGTTTATGGGGAGGGTGGGGCGGTATTTGAGGACAGTCTCATGACAAATCGTCTAAGTACCTTAAAGGACCTGCCTAATTTAAGTGCGTGTTAATAATAAAAACGTCCTGACAAAGTATTATCATGTATTTGAAAAAAATATGCAGTGTATAAACAAATACAAAACAAGATAACGTCTATACATGACTGATTAGGGTCTCACTTCCCACCTTCCCTATCCCTAACCATTCCCTGAGTGTTTTCTGCGTGTCTCGTACCCCTAATTTGGATTGCGCAGACATCACTTTCCGCCATTCTTTTCTGTGCTTGCCGTTTTTTTTCCAAGTAAATTGTAGATCTACATCTATACTATCTTTTCGCCATCTTCTTGGTCTGTTCCCATACAGGTCTTTCGTGAACGCAGTTTTTGTCTCTTTGCCTTCGTCTCTATAGGTCCCAGCCAATGGTGTATAATAACAGCGATGAAACCAGTGATCAATGATGCTTTAAAGAGATGATCAATTTTGTTGTTTCTTTTCACTCCCAATTATCTGCTATTTGTATCTTTGATGGCTTTAAGATTGACCATAAGACTCTTCTCGACAGATTGTAAGACAGCTTCGTATCTTTTACGCTGTAATCCATGTTTTTGAGCCATATAGAAAAACTGGTCTAACCAATGTTTTGTATACTGTGTCCCCGGGGTGAGGGCGATGGGGGTTCCCGGGGTCCCATTGTGGGGAAAACAATAATAGATCCACTGACTCCCCAAACAAGCATGTCGTAAAAGTCCACTAATTGGGTGCTTTTGTTTTCAAAATTGGTGTGCAAAAGCCTAACAGGCAAGAAACCAGCAACCGCATAGAAATGAGCTAAATGTTTAAAATGGATGTGCACGCAACCCTCAGATTCTGGACTGAAGTTCAGACCTGGGTTAACCACCACAACCTTCTGCCGCAGATTACAGCCGGTAAACGCGAAGAAGAAGAAGAAGAAGAAGAAGAAGAAGAAGAAGAAGAAGAAGAAGAAGAAGAAGAAGAAGAAGAAGAAGAAGAAGAAGAAGAAAAACAAAAAGAACAAGAGGAACAAGAAGAACAAGAAGAAGAAGAAAAACAAGAAGAAGAAGAAAAAGAAGAAGAAGAAGAAGAAGAAGAAGAAGAAGAAGAAGAAGAAGAAGAAAAAGAAGAAGAAGAAGAAGAAGAAGAAAAAGAAGAAGAAGAAGAAGAAGAAGAAGAAGAAGAAAAACAAAAAAGAAACAGAGGAACAATAAAGAACAAGAAGAGAAGAAAAAAAAGAAGAAGAACAAGAAGAAGAAGAAGAAGAAGAAGAAGAAAAAACAAGAAAGAAGAAGAAGAAAAACAAGAACAAGAACAAGAAGAAGAAAAACAAGAAGAACAAGAAGAAGAAAAACAAGAAGAAGAAGAATAAGAAGAAGAAGAAGAAGATGAAGAAAAACAAAAAAACAAGAACAAGAAGAACAAGAAGAACAAGAAGAAGAAGAAAAAAAAGAAGAAGAAAAACAAGAAGAACAAGAAGAAGAAAAACAAGGAGAAGAAGAAGAATAAGGAGAAGAAGAAGAAGAAGAAGAAGAAGAAGAATAACAAGAAGAACAAGAAGAACAAGAACAAGAACAAGAACAAGAAGAAGAAAAAGAAAAAGAAGAAGAAGAAGACGAAGGTATATTACAATCTTGGTGTTACGAGACAGATCACTAGATTTTTAGCAGACACAAGGCATCTAACCAATAATAAATTATATTACCTACAGGAACTCTCCATACGATACCATTCTCAGCCAGGTCAAGACAGCCATGGCCTTGAACCAGAAGTACCCGGATGTCATGGTCGGCTATGATCTTTCAGGAAACGAAGCTTTCTTTCATCCCATCATCTTTTACATCGACGCGCTTCTCTACCCGGGAAGACAAAACCCACCCGTCAAACTGCCGTACTTCTTTCATGCGGGAGAAACAAGTGAGCGTCGTTTAGAAGTCTCTTCCATTTCATATATCTCATAAATTTATTTGTAAAATATAAATCAATCCACAGGTCTTTTAAAAACGTCATTCTCTTCACGGCAGGCTTGAAAGTCTCTCTAGTCTATCTTCCATCTCCCTTTACAACCAGAGCATCTTCACTGTCTTGTATCCAGCTTCGCTGAGGTCGATCTCTGCCTCACTTTCCAGAAACGGAACCTTCCAACACCATTCTCTCCAAACCATCAAGACTTTAAACATGACCAAAACACCTCAGCTTTCTGGTCAAAATGCTTTTTATGAACCTGTTCTCCTCGATGTTCAGATCATGTAGGCTGTCGACGCTTTCGTAATCTTGGTTCACCGTATTCTAAAAATTATTCTTCACCATTTCAGTTGCAAAGTTGCTTTTTTTTTTCTTCGGAGATTGAGTGACTAACGAACATTTGTTGCCACTAAAAAGATGCACGATCTCAAAACGTTAACTAGCTTACACTTGCTCTACCGTAGGTTCATCACGCTGTTCATTTAACCTCTGCACTGCTAAAGCCAATCTTTTTTGACGTGATCTCAGGTGTGGTCAAGGCCGTTTAGGAGCAAGCAACGGACTTAGTAGAGAAATAAGATTATTTTGGAATGGAGAGAATGAGGCACCAGGGTGTAACCAGAGGGTCTGGCCGGCTAACTTCACTCAGAGGAAAGCCAAGACGGACATATAACCAGATTGTGACCGGTAACATCATTACTGGAACTCAGCGCTGGCTGCTGAAGATGAGGGCGTAGCATGCATGGGGATGTCCCGAGTGCTGTGATGTCAATTCTTGACTCAACTCAACTCAGCTCTTATTCTTGGTTCACCGTGTTCTAAGAATTATTCTACAGCATTTCAGTTGCAAAGCTGCGTCTTTTTCTTCTTCAGAGATTGAGTGACCCAAGACCATTTGTTGCCACAAGAAAGATGCAAAACTTGCTTACAGTTTCTGTACCGTAGGTTCATCATGCTGTTTATTTAATCTCTGCACTGCTAAAGCCATCTTTTTTACGTGGGGGGGGGGGGGGGGAGAGAAGACCGAGCACTGTTCTTTTAACCTGGCAGCTTCTACGGATCCTGTGTTCTAGAAGTATCGGTGTTACCTGTTCTTTAAAGTAAACAAAGCAAGTCTGGGGAGGAGCATACTGTATGAACATGTCTCTGCAACACTGTCAATGTTGTGCTATGAATATGAGAAACTTCAAATTAGACCGGTCTTGATAGTTACACTCGCCATCGCCAGGAACTACGATTATAATGGCTTTCTTTATCACAGTAAGACGGAATAGGTGCCAAACTACAGATACTTTTGAAATATATGTTCTATCTGTGAGCCGAAATCTTCAATAAGATTCATGAATCCTGTTGCCAGATTGGCAAGGTACAGAGACGGATAACAACATGCTGGACGCTCTTCTCCTGAACGCCACCAGGATTGGCCACGCCTATGCGCTGCCCAAGCGACCCGAGCTGCTACAGATGGTTAAGGAGAAAAACGTTCCTTTGGAAGTGAACCCGTTATCTAACCAGGTATTTGTTCGAGCATGTTTTCTTCTGGCTGTTTTAGCACTTCTACTGTCTGTCGTCCTTAAACATCTTTTCACAACTGTTACCATTTATATGTGTTATGTTGTTCTTCCACCTGTTCTTGATTTTCCTCTGGTTTTTGTTGTTGTTCTTTCTCTTGTTGATCTTCCCCCTTGTTGTTGTTGTTGTTCTTGTTTCTGCTCTTGTTCTTCCTTTTTTGTCCCTCTTGTTGTTATTCTGCATCTTGTTGTTGTTCTTCTTTTTCTTCTTTTTTTTCTAAAATCTTCTTCTTCTTCTTCTTCTTCTTCTTCTTCTTCTTCTTCTTCTTCTTCTTCTTCTTCTTCTTCTTCTTCTTCTTCTTCTTCTTTTTCTTCTTCTTCTTCTTCTTCTTCTTCTTCTTCTTCTTCTTCTTCTTCTTCTTCTTCTTCTTCTTCTTCTTCTTCTTCTTCTTCTTCTTCTTCTTCTTCTTCTTCTTCTTTTTCTTCTTCTTCTTGCTCTTTCCCGTCCAATCTTCACAGCTGTCACCAAGTTCTCGAGTCAACTCCTTCTCATAACATGCCCCAAAACACTGACTGTCTAATCACTGTAATCAGTTTATGGTTTTTCAAATGTTTGGTGGAAAGCGCCTCCGTAGATGATGTCAGATTATAATTCCTGTAAAATGTTATGGCAGGCCGATGTAACTATATTCTTAGTTTCATGATAAACTTGATTTTACGGAGATGGACAATTTTGAAATGTGTGTTATAAATTACAGTGCACGGATGTTCCTAAATTTTTAATTTTGTTTAGAACTTTATGGTTGGCAGTTCTGGCTGTTTATTAAAACTTTAGTCAAATTGTTATTTTATGCAGTTTTGTATAATCTATTGTGTGTTATTAAATTGTATAAAACGCAAATATTGCTGTGTTTTCAAGTTCATGTTTAAACGTTGACATTTAACGATTCTGATATAGTCTCACTTTATGCAAATCTCTATGGCACACCATCGTTGCTAAATTCTCAGTTTCCTGTTCAACTTCCTGTCCTGCAGATGCTTCACCTGGTCTCGGATCTCCGCAATCATCCAATGGTCACTCTGATGGCTGAGGACTTTCCCATTGTCATCAGCTGTGACGACTTCGCCGTTTGGGAAGCCTTGCCTCTGTCCCATGACATCTACGTGGCGTTCATGGACATGTCTGCCCGGGATGCCGACCTGACCTTTCTCAAACAGCTGGCTATTAACTCCATCAAGTTAGTTCATTTTCATTTCTATGTAGTTATTTTTTTCTTCTATCTATTTAATTCTAATTTCAATCTAGTTAAATTGTAATTCTATGAAGTTAATTCTAATTTCTATCTAGTTAAAATTTATTTCTATCTAGTTAATTCTCATTTCTATCCAATTAATTCTCATTTCTATGTAGCAAATTGTTATTTCTGTCTAGTTAATTCTAATTTCTATTTAGTTAATTTTAATTTCTATCTAGTCAATTCTCATGTCTATCTAGTTATTTTTTATTTCTATCTAGTTAATTCTCATTTCTATCTAGTTAATTCTCATTTCTATCTAGTTAATTTTTATTTCTATCTAGTCAGTTCTCATTTCTATCTAGTTAATTTTTTTTTCCAAGTTGATTTTTTTCTATCTAGTAAATTCTCATTTCTACCTAGTTAATTTTTATTTTCATCTAGGTTACTTTTTATTTCTATCTAGTCAATTCTCATGTCTATCTAGTAATTCTATAAAGTTAATTCTAATTTCTATCTAGTTAACATTTATTTCTATCTAGTTAATTCTCATTTATATCTAGTTAATTCTCATTTCTGTCTAGCAAATTGTTATTTCTGTCTAGTTATATCTAATTTCTATTTAGTTAATTTTAATTTGCTGTCTAGTCAATTCTCATTTCTATCTAGATAATTTTTATTTCCATCTAGGTTACTTTTTATTTCTATCTAGTCGCTTCTCATGTCTATCTAGTTAATTTTTATTTCTTTCTAGTTAATTCTCATTTCTGTCTAGTTAATTCTCATTTCTTTCTAGTTAATTGTTATTTCTATCTAGTCAGTTATCATTTCTATCTAGTTAATTTTTTTTCCAAGTTAATTTTTTAAAATCTAGTCAATTCTCATTTCTACCTAGTTAATTTTTATTTTCATCTAGGTTACTTTTTATTTCTATCTAGTCAATTCTCATTTCTATCTAGTTAATTTTGATTTTTATCTAGGTAATTTTGATTTCTAACTGTTTAGCGCGGGTATGTATTAATGTTTAAGGGGACGTCATGATTATCAGGTGCCTTACCGACTGGCATGGGCGATCATGCCTCTTCACAATCTCCGATCCCCTGCAGCATGTATCAGTTCGTGTGCCGACACACTTCCATGCCATGCATCAAGACTGTCAAGCATCTTCTCTCGTTGTCTTCCTCTAACTATTCTTCCACAGATCTTTGCAGTGGTCACAAAATGTTTCACATTTCCTCTTCTTATAACATGGCCGAAAAATGATGATTGTCTTCTTCTGATATCTGTGATAAGTTGTCTTCAAGCTCCTGCCTCTTTCAAAACCTCTTGATTGCTCTTTTTGGCTGTCCAGGGTACTGTAAGCATTCTTCTATTAAACCACATATCTAAGGCCTCAAGAACGTGTTTGGCCTGCCTACCGATTGTCCAGGATTCACAGCCATATGTTAAAACTTGATGTATGCAGCAAGCAAGAATTCGTTCCCTAACCTTCAATGACAGTAATATATTGCATAAGATGTTCTTTATTTTTTAAGTGGATGTAGTGCGGGGAAAAGAAAATAGTTTCCAGTTTGCTGATGAAAAAAAAAAAACAACAACAACACACACACACACACACACACACACACACACACACACACACACACAAACAGTAAAAACTAAACAATAACAACAGCAACACAATTAGCCTGCTCTACTACACATTTTGCCTTTCTCGTAACTCTATATAACTGCTCACTGTAACAACAGGTATAGCGTCATGGAAACCAGTCAGAAGGAAGCTGCAATGAACCTGTGGGAAACCAAGTGGAACCAGTTTATACACGAGGTGGTCCAGGAGCAAAATGCAGGTAGTGGCTCCACAGACGAGACTGTGTAGAATTCCAAATCTGTCTGTTGTCTGGATGTCGCATGATGATAGTGTCAATTAAACTGATTCAACTCGTTCAATACTTGGGTGACCATACGCAGGGCCATGCCGAGCTATGGTACAGACAGGCAAATGTCTAGTGGCGGCATACGTAACGAAATCAAAATACAATATGAACATTTGAGGGGCGGCATTTTGAAGACTTGCATCATAATGAGAAAATATATAGCACGGCCCTGACCATACGTCCCGTTTTTATCGGGCAATCCCGTTTTGTTAGGAATGCCTCGGCCTTCTTGTCGGCACCCCCACACCCCTTTTTTTCACCCCATAAGCAAATTGTCCTGTTTAATACAAATGTAATAATTGGCCCCAGAATAGAACAGACACTGATAGTTACACAAGTTAGTTGCGTATCCTTTACGTCCAGTAGTTTACCATTGCTTTCTGGACTGTCGGCTTCTCGATACAACTTGTCGAAACCAACATAAGTCGCAAGACCTGCAGCTAAGATCGAACCCGGCACCTCGACATTACGAAGCGCGTTCGCAACGCCTAAGCCACAGATGCCGACATAAATACCTATATCTGTAGACCTTAAAAGAATTGACAGAATCGGGAACACACTGAAGGACACAAGGATAAAATAACAAGGAGAATAAACCGGATGGAGGATGACCCAAAAAGAAGAATATAAAGAAGATAAAGATAAAAGGAAGAACACATTGGGACACAGACAAGAAGGAGCGGTGTTTCTACAGGGACAGGAACATAAAGCCAGCGAGCTGGCGAACATGCCACATTCTTAGCAACCGAAGAAGCTAATAAACAGGATCACAAATATAACTGAAGAGAGTTGACGGCTCGCGGCCAACAGCATGTTGAACGTGTTCGAGTTTGTAAACTATTTTTCTAGAATGTAATGGAATGGAATTCATATTTAAAAAAAAAACTTTTAATTCCTGAAATGTGATTAGATGAATTTTTATTAAATTTTTTTCTTAATGGAGTTAAAGAGCACACATTGTTTCGTTTTTTAACTACAATTGATCAGGTTATAAAACAATTGTCGAGGGAATAATTAACCCTTTCACCACGATGACCTAGAAAAGCATGGGTTGGTGGGTGTGGGGTGGGGTGGGGGAGGGGTTTAAACCGACTTTCAGCTGAAAATATTAGTCACCACCCTACAGAGCGATCAGTGACAAATCTGTTTTTGGTGCCCATATGTTTACTTTCTACCTGTTGTATGTCTGTATTGAGTGTGTATTGTTTCTTGCATATTTTCAGGTGTAATTTTGCCATGCATACGTGTATGTATTTTTAATTTATATTCATGCTTTAATTTTGAATATATGAAAATAAAACGTCTTATGAAGTTACTCGTATGATAGTATTATTATCATTTAGCCAGATTGTTGTCAAACTTCACGTCAAATGTTATTTCCGTCAACAGGTCAAAAATCGTCACCTGCCAATTGCAATCGAGAACAGTTAAGTTTTCTAGCAATTTTAATACTGTTGACTGTTCACTTAAATGTGTACTAACACTTTAATAATATTCACATTTAGTGAGGGTGAAATATGAGCAGACATCTAGACAGTTCTAGGCCTTGTGTATTTTAAGCCACAGAACAAGTTGCTGAGGCTACCCCCCCCCTTCCGCCCCTTTCCTCATCTCTACCTCTAATAAATGTTAGGCTGTTTGATTCCCCCATCCCTTTTTCCTTTACAATTTGACAAAGGGGTAGAGAGTGAAAGTGCGCACCCGACCCCTCTTTTAAAGTATTTGTTAATATTTTTTATATATATATATTTCAAGTATATTATTATATTTATTGGACATTCATAACGTATACGCAATAATGATGTCGATAAAAAAAATAATAACCATGACTATTACTGCGCACTAAAACAAGGCTTACGCCCACCGAGACCGTCTCCACACCCTGCACAATTATAGTTTGCTTAGTCCTGTGACCTGCCCTTGCCCCCTTTCTCAATCATAAATCGCTCGACGGGTTTTCCATCCGTACTCACATGTACCCGAAATTAAGCGCGGATACGAGGTCGGACCAGGCACTACACAGATCACAGATCTACACAACTTCCTTTCACCCCTAGGGACCCCGCTGCCTAGGTTGAAAATTATTGGGCTAGACGCGCGTCTGTCATCCTGAAGGGCTTGAGTTCGAATCCTTACTATACGGATTTGAAAAACTAATTGGTCTTGACTCCTAGTTCGGACGAACATAAACTGAATAGCAGGCGAAAGTCTTCGTCCTCAGCCGCGAATGATTGATGGTTACACCTGGCTGCTGTCGACGTTACAAGTGCCTTAATTATAACTTCCTTTGAGACTGAACAGGGTATCTAGGATCTACCTTGTTAGTCTGCCATTTAGACTGAGAATTGTTAATCTTAGGATTTATGCTAAATAATAAGGTAGCAGCCCAGAGTCGACAAACTGATCGGTTGATAGATCGATGCACTGGAAGGTAAGGTCAGACGGTGTGCTGTTTACCTCATCACCTGCAGACTGGTGAATCTTCTCCTTTCTTTAGTCCAGTATAAGTCCAGTATAAGTACAAATGAAATCAGTTTCGATATCATTTAACACCCCGTTTTAACTTCCTTTCACTCCTAGAGACCCCGCTGCCTAGGTTGAAAATTATTGGGCTAGAAGCGCGTCTGTCTCCTGAAGGGCTTGAGTTCGAATCCTTACTATACGGATTTGAAAAACTATTGGTCTTGACTCCTAGTTCGGACGAACATAAACTGAAAAGCAGGCGAAAGTCTTCGTCCTAAGCCGCGAATGATTGATGGTTACACCTGGCTGCTGTCGACGTTACAAGTGCCTTAATTATAACTTCCTTAGAGACTGAACAGGGTATCTAGGATCTACCTTGTTAGTCTGCCATTTAGACTGAGAATTGTTAATCTTAGGATTTATGCTAAATAATAAGGTAGCAGCCCAGAGTCGACAAACTGATCGGTTGATAGATTGATGCACTGGAAGGAAAGGTCAGACGGTGTGCTGTTTACCTCATCACCTGCAGACTGGTGAATCTTTTCCTTTCTTTATTCCATTTTCTGTTTTCCGCTGCTAGGTTAAACTGGTGATCGGTTTCCCAGCTAGGGCACGCTCGGTTGCCAGGTATGCTGTGATGTTGTGATGTCTCAAGATATCATTTGACTGCCTCTATCCATTACTTTTTGGTCGTCCCCTAACTCTTGGTATTTAAATTTTTATCTTATAAGCTTTCTTTGCTTGCATCAGCGGATTCATTCTCAATAAAAGACAAAACCAATTCAGTCCGTTTTCCAGTTAATTTTATTAAAGGCATTGTTCCAATTGTTCTTGTAATTTCTTCGTCTAGTGCTGAAGAAATTACTTTAAAAATCCCAATAATGCAAATTCCCATTAGGTTACCAAGCACAAAAGTTTGGTCCCAGCAGGGATGTATTATTATCAGTCCCCGGTTAGCAGGGATTGTATCTAACACGAAATCCATTTAAGCCCCTGGAAATTCGTATTAACAGTGTTTAGTTATGTAACTATATGTCGAGCATCATATGGCTGGTAGATAAAAAATGCTGACTAAAGAATCAACATCATAACACTTGGCACACTCTCATAAGCGCTCCGCCCCCATCTTCCACAGCAAGCGAAGAGTTCTGATGGAAGCAGTAGCTGTCTGATTGTACACCCGTCTCGCCTTTCACTTGAGTGTTGACCGTCCGCCAGATCCCCTCGTCACTCCCAGAAGCGTCATTCTCCTCAGACTGTAATGATCTATTTATGCCTCCGCGATCTTCACCTGCTCCCAAAGAGCTCTCATAATATCTAGCTTGTCATATATCAGCTCACCACCAAGTGGTGCAACACTCCTCCGTCTGCCTGTTCGTTTCCCAAAACACCAGCACAAGTGGGGGAAAATATCCAAAGGACGCTAACTACTCGGTACCTTTAAATCGATGCTTGCCACTCTGCACCTGCCATGCCTGTCTCCAACTTTCTCAACATACTATTTAAGTCAGTTACAATCACGACATGCGAATCCCGATAAATTAATGATGGAAAAAGCGCCCCTTGCTGACTTTACTATCTGGCTTAGTAAATACTAGAAGTTAGCAAAAGACACACGTTTTTACGCCCTCATGCGTACTTGGCATATAGGGCTAGACCTATATTTTATATACCAACCGGCACTCGATGGGTGATGTAGACTTCACCTGGTACCGACTTGAGGCTGGGTCGACCTGGGAACCAAGGTCATGTATGAAGAAAGTAGGACATGCGTGAGGGTCTGAACCCACGATCTTCAGATCCGCAGTTGAGTGTCAATCGTTACACCCCGCCACTCTCCTTTGTAAGCAAGGGAAGTTTAAGATATATTTCGTTAAAACTTTAGTAAAAGAAAATTTTCCTTATATAGGTGTCTGCTGCACAAGAGTGAGGAAAGAAGAAATAGTATATTCGACAAGGAAACGGTTACTGACTAAGGTTAGCTCGAAAATCGCACTAAATACCAGATGTTCACATACAGCGTGTCTGCCGTAGCCTGCTGGACATGTTTTAAAATTAGCGGGAATAATTTTTTTTAAAAAGATAATTTTAGTATTAAACTTGTGAAATAAAGTTATATTGACGTCTAATAAAAAAAAGAAAAAACCTCGTCCGTGTTTTTTGTTGCTGTTTATTTCTGTTTGTCAGTGTTGTCTGTTGATTGGTTAATATTGCATTATTAGCCATCTTTATTAGCAGTATCAAGTGCTTGACCGACTAGCGTGGGCGACAGTGCTTCTCCAAGTATTTTATCATCAATCAGCATATCCTTTACAGAACGTCGCTCTCTTTACGGCACACCTGAACATTTGTCTTTCTATAGCCAGGTAGCTCTCTATTCCTTTATGACAAGTGCATCTTCAATGTCCAGTTAGCTTTATATTCCTTTATGAACAACGCATCTTTAATATCCAGTTAGCTCTCTATTCCTTCACAGACAACTCATCTTCAATGTCCAGTTAGCTCTCTATTCCTCCATAGATAACGCATCTTCAATGTCCAGTTAGCTCTCTATTCCTTCACAAACAACTCATCTTCAATGTCCAGTTAGCTCTCTATTCCTTCACAGACAACTCATTTTCAATGTCCAGTTAGCTCTCTATTCCTCCATAGATAACGCATCTTCAAGGTCCAGTTAGCTCTCTATCCCTTTATCTACAACGCATCTCTAATGTCCAGTTAGCTCTCTATCCCTTTATAAACAACGCATCTTTAATGTCCAGTTAGCTCTCTATTCCTTTATAGACAACGCATCTTCAAGGTCCAGTTAGCTCTCTATCCCTTTATAAACAACGCATCTTTAATGTCCAGTTAGCTCTCTATTCCTTTATAGACAACGCATCTTCAAGGTCCAGTTAGCTCTCTATCCCTTTATAAACAACGCATCTTTAATGTCCAGTTAGCTCTCTATTCCTTTATAGACAACGCATCTTTAATGTCCAGTTAGCTCTCTATTCCTTTATAGACAACGCATCTTCAAGGTCCAGTTAGCTGTCTATCCCTTCATGAACAACGTATCTTTAATGTCCAGTTAGCTCTCTATCCCTTCATGAACAACGTATCTTTAATGTCCAGTTAGCTCTCTATCCCTTCATGAACAACGCATCTTCAATGTCCAGTTAGCTCTCTATCCCTTTATGAACAACGCATCTTCAATGTCCAGTAAGCTCTCTATTCCTTTATAGACAACGCATCTTTTAGGTCTAGTTTGCTCTCTATTCCTTCACGAACAACGCATCTTAAATGTCCAGTTAGCTCTGTATTCCTTCATAGACAACGCATCTTCAAGGTCCAGTTAGCTCTCTATCTCTTTATGAACAACGCATCTTTAGTGTCTAGTTAGCTCTCTATTCCTTTATGAACAACGCATCTTCAATGTCCAGTTAGCTCTCTTTCACTTGATGAACAACGTATCTTTAATGTCTTTTATCCGATACCGCGGAGGTCGGACTCTGTATTGTTTTCCGGAAACTGTTCCCTCTATCATCGTTCTGTCCAGGCCACCCTGACCCTTTCCATGGCCAAAATACCTCAGTTTTCGTGACAGGATGCTGATTGTGAGCCAATTCTCCTCGATGCTTAGACCATGTGGATGTTGGTGTTGCCTTTTTTCTGTGTCCATAGTTATTCTAAGACAGCTGTTGTAGCATTTCAGATAAAAAGCTCCGACTTTATTCTTCAGACATCGAGAAAGAGATTGTGACTCAGATCCATAAGTTGCCTCAGGAAAAAGGCGCGATCTTAAAATATGTACTTTATATCTTCTCAACTGGGCCTTTTTAATGTACCTGTGGAGACTTTAAGGTTATATAATTCTGACCGTTATGCTGCTATCGAATATCTCGTCTACACAACTTTGGAGCTTTGAATACGATCACTCACCGCTGGAGCCTTTATCGTTGTTTCATCGTCTCGCTGTAGCCTGTAGCGTACATCCTCGATGGATTAAACACTACGTCAAGGTTGGAGCCTTAATCCTGATCGTATCTGTCTCAGTTCAAACGCTTTTTTTTTTTACTACTTTTCCATTGCTAAAATAGCCTTTAGCAGTGGATCAGTCATTTATAACGTCTGTCACACAACTTTTTGGAAGTGTTATGTTTGGTAAGTCACTTGTATATTCTTTTGCACTGTGATTACCATAGTTTTGACTGTGTTTTCCTCTAAATTATGTTGCTCTATTCTCTGTGTGTGGTTACTCATATACGATCTTTTTATTCCTCTCTCATTGACGATATGCTCAAATAATAGTATTAGACGATGTCCAGGATTACTGAATTTCAGAGATAGGCCGAAGTGTTGATCTACAAAATATTGACCTCCTCGAATTTGCCGAAACTCTAATGAAAGAGAGTAGAAAAGGAGAAGGCAATGGGCGCTAAAAAGGCCACCGAGAACGCCATGAAAAGTTGGAGCTGGAAAAATGACGAGTCTGAGAGAGGCCATTTAGATAACACAATGCTCTCTAAAGAACAGGGTATTCAGGGTAACAAATTTCCTGCCAACTTCACCGGCTGCACTGTTTGTTTCTCTTGACGTCACTAACATTTGAGCTACCCCACAGGCAACAAAAAAGGGATGATGATGATGATGGTTGATCGGCACGAGAGAGATTTGTGCGTGGCACTGGTGCCATGCCTTGTTACCTATGCCGTGGACTCCATCGAAGTCCGCCAGTTGCTTAATAACGCTATGTACTCAACTTAGTAGCCGGGTGACAGAACCTCCTTTCAGTCTATCTATAGAGAAACTGCAAAGGCTATTGTCAGAGGTAAACACTTGCCACGAAAAGAAACAGTCTTCGTCTTCTTCTTCTTTTCTCCCCTCCTAGAATGCTTCATGGCGTCAGGACAGGAAGAGACCTCTAGAGCGGGCCCTTTTGTTCGCTTCGCATACTTTTTAGTGTCTCTGATATTTCTGCGGTCCACCTTCTACGTAGTCGACCAATGGGTCTTTTACTGTTGCATCTGTATTACATTGCTCTCTGTGGTGCTCTTGCATCATGTCAGTCTTGTAACATGGCCAAACCATTTGATTTGTTGTCTACCTGTAAAGCTGAATATTGGTTGTGTGCCGATTCTCCTCTTGATATCGTCGCTCCTAAGTCGATCTTTCCTCGTTACACCTAGTATATTAAGTAAATGTTTTATTTCTGTCGTGACTATTTTCCTTCTGTCTTCTGAAGACAATGTCCATGTTTGACATTGATAGCAGAGCTTTGGTAAGAATATTGTGTTGAAGTGTTCTTTTAGTGTTCATATTCGCATGCTTGCATTTTGAAATTGGTGCCTTTTGGCCTAAAACTTTATTTTCTTCATTGCAGATTTGTTGGATTTCTTTATTCATTTTTCCGTCTTCTGAAAAAAAAAAAAAAAAATTTCTTCGCAGATATGTGCAATCGTTTGCCTGCTTTAATTGGTGTTCATCAGTTTTTATATTGGTGGTTCTTCCTTTTCTGGAGAATGTCATTACTATTATAGAAACAATAAACCACCCTATCCATACTGATACGGACACTTAGACTTCTCTGCAGGCAGACAATGAAAACAGGCAGACTGTCGCACCTTACAAGAGTGTAACACAGCAAGCTGTAAGAAGGAGACGTTTCTGTAGAGATTCAAGAATAATAATCAGCTTGTGTATGTGTGGACTGTGTTACATTTCCTGGGAAGTAAATGCGGCCGTCGCGATGCTGACCACATCACCCACAAGTACCAAGTGATTGGTCTGTAAAATATCGGTCTAGCCCTATATACCCAATACGCCTGAAGGCATGGAAACTGGTCCTGTACTTTATGTAATATTCCCACATAGAACTTCCCAGTCATAGCGGTTGCTGAAACAGGACTGCAGTCCAGCAGTGGATGAACAACCAGAACTTTCTGCCAGAGTTTACAGATGGTGAACGCGAAGAAGAAGAAGATATTACCGACATGACATGAAGTACAAGGTTTTCACATATTCTAGGCTGATAAATAATGCTGCAGACGTTACACATATACTCCATATATAAACTATTCATTCACAAGAGACGCACGCCAGAACTGAAAACAAGAATTGACAAGCAGAGTTTGGGCTCCTCTTCTGTGACCTCAACGATGTCGCATTTGACCAGTCTTGGGCTCCAGGATGTTTTACTTCTCAGAATGATTAGTGTGTTTCTCTTGGCGGCACTGACAGAAGGTGCTCCTGTGACTAGTGAGTACTTGCAGACGAGGACACAGCTGATAGCTACAGACAGTAGTCGAAGAATTGGCGGAAAACTGCCGTTGAGTGCAGACGAGCAGATCGTCAATGAAGTATTTATGAAGGTAAGAAAAGTATTACTTCTATTGGCTTAAATGTAAACAACAAAACAACATTGGTCTCACTCATTGTGTGCTTCTTTATTCGCTACTTACAACAACAACTGCAACTACTACAGCTGCTGCTACTACTACTACACTTACTACTAAAATCACTGCTACTAGTAGTGCTACTATTACTGCTGCTACAACCACTGGGGTACTGAAAAGAGCACATACTACAACCGTCTTTTCCATGCTCAGTCTACGAAGGCTCAGATGGCTGGGTCACACCTGGACAATGGAGGATGGCAGAGTCCCTAATGACCTAATTTATGGTGAATTAAAGACGGGTAGAAGATGTCGAGGCCGACCTCTACTACGTTATAAAGATGTGTCCAAGCGGGACATGAATGATACAGGTATTGATGTTGACCCATGGGAACAAAATGTCATGGACCGTGTTGTGTGGAAAGGGCATATCAGGAAGGGAATGAGAGTGAAGGAAGAAATGATTGCAGAAAAGATGAGAGGTGAGCGTCTGAAAAAAAAAACCGGATTAAACACAAATGTGGACAACAATAGTCATCACATGCTATCACTGCGGAAGACTTTTCTTGAAACGGGCGGATCTTGCTAGTCACACGCCATCGCCATAGGCGATGCCTCCACATAGCGCAATATGACACTATCGTCTGGAAAGACGGAAAGGTGCCAATCAGTCAGTCAATCACTGCTGCTACTACACTTACAACTGCTGTTACTGCTGCTACTGCAATTATTACTATAGTATGCTACTGCTGCTGTTATTACTACTGCTGCTGCTGCTACAACATAGAAAGAAGTAGAACAATAGAAGAACACAATAGACAACACAAAAACCGAAAGCTATAGTTACCGTGCCAGGAATCGAACCTGTCACCTCCGAATGGCGTGTGCGCCTAACTATGGAAACAGGCGCACAAAGAACATAGCCAAGTGGGCACCCTCCAAAAAAGGTGTCCACACTGGCATGTCTATCGTTCAGCCTGAAATCCACAGCTATGGAATAGGGAAAGATTTAATCTCAAACAACTGAAATTGTATCATAGGTTATATAAGTTTATATTATTGAAGAATAGGTCGAGTTACAAACACTGCAAAAATTTACAAACACCACCGACCGTAATGCTGTTGATTTATCACAGTAGCGATGCCCGCGGTTTCCGCTAAAGACCCAATGCTTCAAGCCAAGTATACAGACGAGGAAACATTACCGGCACACATTGGTCAATGCTCCTTTATTTGTAAACAACCGGGGGACTGTGTGGTCTCGTAGAATGCTGTCCGCGCCGAGTGCTAGAGGTTCCAGGCCCAATCCTCGGTAAGGGCTAGTTTTTTTTTTCCCACGTGAACTTAGACTTTTAGTACTGGGTAGTGAGATTGGAGGCGCGTGTGCATTGCTGAGCGCGTAAAAAAATCCCTTGGCAGTTGGATATCAAAATTATCCTGACGGCGCTGCCCGGGCACAATTTGGAGTTAAAAATATACCCACAGTATTTAAGGATCCTCGCCGGTGCTACAGAGCCTGTGCACTGTGCTGAGCTTCTTCGGACTAATTCTTGAGTTAAAAGAAGAACGGAGCACTTATAGGTTACTACCCTTGTGCCATTATAATGATCTTTAGTTCAAACCTGTTCAAACCTCATTTGTAAAACAACCAGGAAAAGAGGAGACTCATAGATGAGAGTCGTCGCAATCAAACACCGTATATTCCCGCGCAAAGTTTCTACATCTCCAGGCCGCTGATTGAGAATTCGACTTTGCTGAAGCTGATTCGTCGGATGCCCAAAGGTATGTGTTTGTAACTCGGTATGTCCAGTTTGAGGAATGGGTTCGAGTCTGTTCACAATTAAATATCTAAGTTCGGTGGGAAAGAAGCCAAAACTTAAAAAAAAAATATTTACAAAAGGGGGAGGGAATGGAAGTCAGTTCCCTTACTTAATTTCAGAGACAACAAAAAGGGGAAGAGGGTGGGGGTGGGGAGGGGGTTGGAGGCGGTGGGTTGGGGTGGGGGATGTTCCTCTCATGGTGCCTGAGTCTTATTAAAATGTATTGGGTTCCAAGGCCCCCATTCTCGGGAAAAACAAGAATAGACTCCACTGCAAGCATGTCGTACATGGCGAATTATTAGGGAAGTTTCTCTTGCAGTCGAATTACATCAGCCCCAGAGGGAATAACCAAGAGTCTGCACAGAAACAGATATGTAAAACGGAAGTGCACGCGAAACTCAAGTTTTGGAATAAGATAGAGGTAAAGAAATAGACAAACAACCAGAAATTTAAGCCGGAGATCACTGTCGGTGCACGTTAGGAAGAGTAAGCAGATTTAAGTGTATAATAATAGTAATAATTTATTGAATGTACGCTACAACGTACTAAACGAGAAAAGCAGGCTACAAGACAAGGGATTGACCAAGAAAGATATGGGTGACGGGAGTAAAAGAGACACTACAGAACGGCAATATGACATTAGTACAAGCGACACAATTAGCAATGAGCAAAAAAGAAGGTGCATCTAATTCCTCTCTGCGACGCTTTAGGGTACAAACCGTAGGATGCCATTCTTCATTCTCCAGGTGTGACACAGCCATCTTCGGAGGCTAAGCATTTAGAAGACTGTTGTAGTACCTGCTCTTTCCAGTACCTCAGTGTTTGTGATTTTGTCCTGCAACCTAATGCCAAGCATTCTTCTTTGGCATCTCTCGTGAAAGCTATTTAGCCGTCTCTCCTGGTACAAATATGTTGGCCAAGTTTCACTGCCATAAAGCAGAGTGCTGAAAACACAAGCCTGATAGACAAGAGTTTTTGTTTTAATTATGAGCTTTCTGTTCTTCCAAACTAGTTTTGTAAACGTACTCATTGATATTGTTGTCTTACCTATCCTGATGTTGATTTCTTGGTCCAGCGATAGTTTGTTACTCACTGTGGAACCCAAATAGGTGAAATGGTTTACTATCTCCAAATCTTCACCGTCAATGATGACTAAGTTCTATCATTGAAACCTTGCACCACAGCCTTTGTCTTCTTTCTGGTGACTGCAAGTCCTGTACAGATACGTATAAACTAAACAGTCAGACCATCTGTGTTGAAAATAAGAGTGATTGGAGCCCAGCTTTTACAGCATTAGACAATCCCGATTAGCAGAAAAATATCTTACACAAAGCTTAGATCAGAACCAGAGATGGTGGCTTATTATAAATCAGAAGAGAAAGCTAGTAACCTAAGAAATGAGTTGTCTGAGAAAGGCTGCAGGAGTGACTAGGAGAGGTAAAATCAGCAATGAGGTCATAAGAGAAACCATTGGTACTAAAAGTGTTTTAAATTACTCACAAATACAGTAAATGAATTCGTTTGCCCACTTAGAAAGAACGCTGTGTAACAAAGCATACAACAAACGAGGAGATGGACAAAGAGTACCAAGCAGACCAAAAAGAATATAGAAAGATAACATCAGAGAAGCTTTTCAACAGCACGATGTAACTATAGGGGAAGCGGCCTGACGAGTAAGAAGCAAAACCTTCTATCTCTCTCGTCACCCTACGATATAAAAGAGGAAGTGAAGAAGAAGATTAAAAAAAAAAGAGACGAAGAAGAAGAAGAAGAAGAAGCAGAAGAAGAAGAAGCAGAAGAAGAAGAAGAAGAAGAAGAAGAAGAAGAAGAAGAAGAAGAAGAAGAAGAAGAAGAAGAAGAAAAGGATGAAGAAGCAGAACAACAACAACAAAAAAGAGACGAACAACAGGAAGAAGAAAGAGTAAAAATAATGTTTTAGTCAGTACTTAACACATGTGATTAATCTCAGACTTCCACGATGATCGCATGTTAATCTAGCTTTCGTTGGTGAAATGTACAATACATAAATAGAATAGACAATGCAATTTTGGGTCTCAGTTGAAAGCATTCCTGATTTGAGCCTGTGCAACATGTTTATTTCCGCAATATTCAAAGACAATACATTTTTTCCAAACCATACAACCAGGGGCGGCGCTACATCTTCATGACACGTCAGTTACCAGCTTGGACTGGCTGATCAAGAACGCCACTTATCGCGATAATATCTACATGTGTGTGGCTGCCGATGGGTTGATCAATTTCCAGGCATTCCTGAACCCACCTAACAATTCAGGTATAGAAGTTAGTATTGCGTCATCATCAAATTATTCATAAATACTATCACTACTAGAATGACTGTCATCATTATCATCGTTGTCGTTGTCTTCATCATAATCACCACCATCTTCACAACTACAACTTCACCCACTACCATTATCACCATCACTAGACTACTTCACAGCATCATCGTCATTGACGTCATTAACCCAACCACCACCACCACAAAACCACCACCACCATCTTCATCATCGTTGTCACCACCACCATAATCACCACCACCACCATTGTCGTTATCATCATTATCACCACCGTTCCACCACCAACGCCGTATTTATTGTTCCCTCTTTTTTTTTTTAAAGCGAGGAAACAAATTCTGAAATTAGCGAGGGTCATCTGTTCAAGAACACAATCACGAGTGATGGGTCAAACGTTGCGGATAAAACGTGTTCGTCAGCCCGCGCCCGCGCGCGCGCGCACACACACACACACGCACACACACACACTAGGACACTGATAAATATATTGGACAAATTTATTTAAGATTTTTTTTCTGTGGTGTTTCGGATTATCTGAGCATTTATAAATAAGTGAAATGACATTTCAAAGACATATAAATATGACCTTGGGTATCTTCCATAACAAATTATTGAAAATTAAAGAATTATCGTAAAATATTTCAATCAATTATCGGGATTACCTGACATATAATTATTAAACTATAGGAATATCCGTATAAATATATATAAAAAAAATATGTTAATATTCAAATACACATTATTACACACATGGGAATGTCCGAAAACACAAATAAAACTGGAAATATCTGAAGACACATAAATACAATTATGGGAATATCCGAAGGCACATTATTAAAATAATTGTGGAATATCCGACAACACATAAATAAAATAATGACAATAAAGGAAGACACAGAAATAAAACTGATAGCCAGGTTCTGGGGTCAGACGACATAAAATAACATAGTTACGTAAGATAAGATTGTGTTGATTTCTTTCATTTGACACCATCTCAGGCCCTCGGAGTTTTCATGGGGAAATTCATGAAAAAAAACATACGCAATACATAATACATACAAAAAGGGGGAAGGGGCTACAGGATACAACAAACATACATTAAGGGGGGGGGGTAGCGCTAGTGTTTTTCGGTGGTCATTTCACACCCAGACACCCCTATACTAGTGGATGTTCCCGGTAATTACTCATTACGCAATCTCGAAATGACCAAGATAGGGTGAGGGAAAAAAAAACCATAATAAAAGTATATATACATAAAAATTAAAAAATAAAAACTTTTTCCAGCTTATCCATTTATTTCCCTCTCTGAAATCTGTTAGACTGTGTTTGGAGATCTGTGAGAGATGAAAGAGCTCGGGCAGAAGATATCGCTGCGTTTGATCTAAAGTAAGTATTTGGAAAGAAAAAAAAAAGACAGGTTTTATCAAGGAAGAATCGTAATTTGAGACTGTTAGAAATATTTACATTTAACATAGACAGCTGACAAACAGTCTGCAAGGCTAATGCACATACACACAGACAGATCGACGGCAGAACAGACGAACGGATGGATAGACTGATCAACAACTAGACAGGCATACACACAAATAGCTAGGCTGACGGACATGCAGTCATACAGTCATACAGACAGACAGACAGACAGACAGACAGACAGACAGACAGACAGACAGACAGACAGACGGACGGACGGACGGACGGACGGACGGACGGACGGACGGACGGACGGACGGACAGACAGACAGACAGACAGACAGACAGACAGACAGACAGACGGACGGACGGACGGACGGACGGACGGACGGACGGACGGACGATACGGACGGATAGATAGATGATGGATGGATGATAGATGGATGGATGGATGGATGGATGGATGGATGGATGGATGGATGGATGGATGGATGGATGGATGGATGGATGGATGGATGGATGGATGGATGGATGGATAGATAGATAGATAGATAGATAGATAGATAGATAGATAGATAGATAGATAGATAGATAGATAGATAGATAGATAGATAGATAGATAGATAGATAGATAGATAGATAGATAGATAGATAGATAGATAGATAGATAGATAGATAGATAGATAGATAGATAGATAGATAGATAGATAGATAGATCACTACTATAACTACCACTGCTACCACCACTACTAGTACCATCACCACACCACCACTACCATAACTGCCACTACCACTTCCCCCACCACCACTACTACTATCACCGCACCCACAAAAACCTTGAATACCTACCCTAACACTACTTTGAATCCAATATTGTTTCCTCAGTTTAAAGAGAAATTTGTCCTTGCTAGTGTCTGACCCCCTGACTACATACATCGACAACGCTGATGTCTGGAGGAGATTTGATCGCTATTTCTCACAGGTATCCGCCCACTGTCTTTGTCACTGCTCGATGTATAATAAGCAGATACATAAAACTGATCGACATTTTTAGAAGGAAGTAGAGAGACAAAAGGACATACAAGACAACATAAACATCGACCGCTATATTGCCTGAAATCGAACTGTCTCCCCAAATGACGTCTGCGCCTCGTTGCAGAAGCAAGTGTTCTAATACGCATGACCACTCGACATCCTTAAAAGGGTGTCACCGTAAGTTAGGTGTATCATAGTCTGATTTAGTTGTTTCTGTTGTTAGATGGTTAAGCCATTTGACACGTGCGATTCGTACGGGTGATCATCTCAGGTGATCATCTCCAGAATTCTAGACAATCATAACGCCATGTGTCAGTTACTATAATGTTCCTCTTTAAGGGGTACATAAATTATTAGTTTACAAAATAAAATAAAAATCGCCGCTTTAAGAAAACAGCAGCATCTGCGCAATTATAAATTTTGAAAACTATAAGGGCGTGGGAAATATAAGGACACACGCACGCGCGCGCACACACACACACACACACACACACACACACACACACGCACACATAATTTGTGTTTTAGAGAAATTTTTAAAGTGTGAGCCTCGACTTTTGAAACACACTGTAGTAAGTGAACGACACTTTTCACGCCAGTGGCGAATCATGCGTATGTTGCTAGATTGATATGTTTATCAGCCAACCGGCTCTCGGGTAATGAGTGGTCAGTATCACGACGGTGGCCTTCCTTCCCAGGACATTATCTTGTACCCACTTTAGACTGTCTATATTCATTTTGTGCCGGGGATCTCCAACCTTTTTCAAGAGCCTCAGGCCCCTTTAACTATATGGCAAGACCCTCACCCCCTTTTCCCTTCCCGCCCCAACATTATAAAATGTGATTTAAAAGAGGACAACTGATTCAGCAACAAGAGAAACAGAAAATATGGAGGTACGTTTTGGTCAGAATTAACTCTTGATCTATAATTAAAAGCACCTGCTATCATAAGAATTTAATTTTGATCAGTACCTTTACAAACTCCTCATGACAAAAATAGGTCAATGGCTTTGTATTTTATAATTTTGAGAAGTAGTTTATTTATAAATTATATTTGAAAAACCAAAGTGTTATTTTGTAATTTGAAATGTACTAATTCACCTAGTTTCAAAACTGCTTGACACCCAATTGTAACCTTTTCACCTCCCTTTCCCCCCCCCCCCTTTTTTTTATAGAGACCATTGTTCAACACACATGGTAGACTAAGGCGCTGTGTGGTCTCCAGGCTTGGTGTCTGCCTCGAGTGCTAGAGGCCCGGGTTCAAGCCTGAGTGAAGGCTAGAATTTTTTTCACGTGGACTTTTAGTAATTCCCCCGTGGTCTCAGGGTAGTGAGACCGGACGCGAGTGGTATTGTTGCGCACGTTAAAGATCCCTTGGCATTTGGAAAGAGTAGCACAACATCGCTGCCTGGAGAAATCTTGGAGCTAAAAATCTACCCACATTATTTCAGGAGCCTCGCCGGTGCTACAGAGCCTGTGCACTGTGCTTGTCTTCTTCAGACTCAGGCTTGAGTTAGTAGAAGAACGGAGCACTTATGGGTTACACTCTTGTGCGATGATGTTGATCCATTACATAAACATAAAACATGGTAGCATTAGAACGTCTTTGAAAATGTCATGATTGCTTCTTCAGGTACAGAACTTGATTTATTACACTCCGATCTTCAGAGACTACTTCTGGAGAATGCTGGAAGAGGTTCGCAATGAGAACGTCCAGTACGTTGAGATTAGGAGTGGCTTAGACGGGGTAAGTTTTGTCGCTTGAAGCAGTTGTACTTTGTAGAATCTTAGAGTGATTAATACTTTTAGAGATCGTTTTGTAATAGTGGGATGTATCGGCCGACCGAACAGCACAGAGATATCGCTGTCCTGCTGTAAACGAGCAGAACGCAGTTACATTTTCGGATGAAACCAGAAGAAGAAGGTATCGTGTTATCTCCCTTTACCCCAGTGGTTTCCAATGCGCCATCTAGAGGTGGGGCAAGAATAGACTGACTGCATCTTAACAAATGTGTCGTAGATGGAGACTAAGTAAGGTTGTGAAATAGGTTATGTTGCGAAGATAGGTGCAGATATCGCACCTGGCTATAAACCACAACAAAGCGTGACAACGTGACAAAGAGAATAAGGAGGATGATGTCGATGATGATAATAATAATAATAATATGATAAGTAATGTACAAAAGATGTGAAAATAATATAATTTCACTGTCAACACTAACGTAGCTTGTGTACTTAGATCTTCCTGTTTTTCTTCTCCTTTTTTTCTTCATCACCTTATGCTTACTTTTTTTCTTTATTTTCTCTTGTATCGCTTCGAAGGTCGATGGAGTTATAAGGTTCTGCTTCGTGCTCTTTTGGTCTGGTTTTATCCTTTTATGTTGTTCGTGGTCTAGTTGGTGCTTTTTGTCGTCTCCTCCTATGGTGCATGCACTATGTGGTCTGGGGTCATAAGGAATTCTCTCTAAATATGCAAACGATTTGATGTTCTGTCTCTCTGTGTAATTTAGAAATGATTTTTTTTCTCTTGCGCCCTCGTTTGTGAATTTATCTCTTTTAATCCACCAACAATGGTGACACAATGAAAGAAATTAAACGGCGACTATCAATTGCTCTTCAAAGACTAAAACAACCGAATAAATTATGGAATTGTACAGATAGAATTACAAAGGTTAGATTTTTAAGAGCATGCATCTTTCCCATTGCAACATACGCCTGTGAGACCTGGACACTTACTAAACAAGCGGAACAGCGCATAAATGCATTTGAATATAAATGTTACAGACAGGTTCTAAGAATATCTTGGGTAAAGAAAAGAACAAATGCATCCATACTTCAAGAGCTGAATATTGAAGAGGGTTGGCTAGTAAAGACAATAAAACAAAGAAAATTTAAATATTTTGGTCACTTGAAACGTCATGGAAGTCTAGAACAATAATGGAGGGGTATATGCCTGGGAAGAGAGGAAGAGGAAGGCCAAGGAGAAGATGGGTGCAGGATGTGGCAGATGATCTCCAGATGGGTGAATCAGACGCAGGACATCTTGCTCAGGATAGGAAGGTTTTCCGGAGGGTTGTTATGGCAGCGAGGTTCCGCGAGGGACATGCTACTGAATGAATGAATCCCTCTTAGATCAATTGAAAAAGATAAACACAGGCGAGACAGTAAGGTCGACGAAATTGCGTAATTCTTTCTCACCTTAAACCAACGCACCGCAAAAGTCACCTTGTCATTGAGCTGCACATTTGGCAGAATATATACTGTATATAAGGCATCGAAGTGACCTTAGTCTTCAAATCAAACTTAAGCGATACATATCTGCAGTGTTTTCGGCTTTGCTGTATGCTTGTGAAACATGGAGTGTACACACACGCCCTGCAAAGAAGCTCAACCACTTCCACACTGTTTGACAAAACAACATGCTGAACATCAAGCGGGAAAGCAATGTTCCAGATACTGCTGTAAGGATAGAGCTGGCATTTCTAGCATTGATACAATCCTGATACAGTTAAGGGGTCACAACAGGAAATTTTTTTTTTAATTTTATTCACAATGTTAGACCAAATATTTTATAATGGTCATTTGTAGGGATGTATGCTGATACATTTGTACACTTCAAGTTTAAAAAAACATGGTTGCCAAGGCAACAGCCGCCATCTTGATGAAAAAACGACATGTACTTAGTCAGCTGAAATTCCAAAAAACAAACAAAGGTATTGAGAAACAGATGATTGATTCATGAACTTTAAACCTACGTTTAGGGTCTTGGCTAGTTTATTTACTTCAAAAATGTTTGTTAATATTTTTTTTTAGAATATTTAAATTTAGGTATGTTGAAAAAATACAAAAATGTAGCAATCAAATGCTGCCAAATAATAGAACCAATGAAATGTTGGTATGGCTATGATTCTATTAGTTTCGTATATTGTCGGCAAAGCTCGCAGGTGCTTTCGTATATAGAGAAATGAAAAGGTGTTTGGACGGCGGTAAAAATGAAATACAACATGCCCTATATTAATATTTGGAAACAGCTGTTGCTATGTGTCAAACATTGCTATTTTGTGGTACAAAATTTATTTTATCCCCAAAAAATACATGGGGTGGTGTCTTTAGCATCAACTTTTCAACGCTATATTGTTCACAAATGACACAAATCTTGTATGTAATCTATTCTACGAATGTCGAACTTTACAAAAACGAACTAATTGAAAAGGGATATTTTTGTCACAAATTGACAAAAAATTCCGTGTAGTGACCCCTTAAGACCTAATTGGCAGGTCACCTCGTCGTGTGCCAGATCATCGGCTCTCAAAAAATAATCGTGTGTGGTGAGGTACGAAAAGGTAGACACTCTCATGCTGGCCAGAAAGAAAAAAAAAAGCACGCTTGAAGGACATGCATTACTTAAAGCCAATACAATCCCTGACATTTGGGAGGCTGCCGCACAAGACTTGTCTTCATGGTGAACGTCTATCCGAAGTGGCCCAGCTACAGCCAGGCATCTAAGGCTAGGGTATCCTAAACTATTCTTTGTCGCGGCGCCTTATTTTTTCCAATTAAAATTGTCCACGCAAAATAATGACTATTCGTATGGAAGAGATAAAAAAAAAAAAAAATTGCGTCTCTTCGAATATTTCGCGGCGCCCTTGTAACTAGGTCGCAGCTCCCGGGGGACGCCGCGGCGCACAGTTTGGGAATCACTGATCTGAGGGGGAGGAAATAAACCCAAGAAGGCAGACTAAAAAGAAAAGTATAACAGAGCATGTAGCGACAGAAACCGTTCCTTGTCTGGATTGTTCTAGATCCTTCCAGGCTCATATTGGGCTTATAAGTCATTTCCAGACTCATATTCAATCAACTATAGTTTCATGACAGATGAAAGAAAGAGTGGTCCTCATTAACTGAAAGACGAGCAACACAGATCAATCATCACAATGCACAGTGATAACCCACTCTTTTCTTTCCCTGTCCAAACGGCAGGTCTTTGACTTAGACGGGACTGTCTACGACGCCGAGTTTGCTGTCCAGATTTACAAAAACACATCTGCAGAGTTTGTGCGACAGTATCCAGATTTCAGCGGTGCTAGGATCATCATGTCTGGGTTCAAGTAAGAAACACACTAAACAGTATAGAGTATAGGCAAACATCACCACCACGGTCATCATTAGTACCACCACTATCACCACCGTCCTCATCAATACCACCGTCATCATCACCATTACCGCCACCACCATCATCATCAATACCACCATTGTCACCAACCGTCATCCCCACCACCACCATCATCATCACCACCACCGCCACCACCACCATCATCACCACCGCTATTATTATCACCACCATCATCATCATCATAATTACCACTACTATCACCACCGTCATCCCCACCACCACTGTCATTATCACCACCACCACCGCCACCACCACCACCATCACCATTGTCATCATCATCACCACTACCACCATCATCATCAAAAATACCACCACTATCACCACCATCTTCATCACCACCACTATCACCATCATCATCACCACCACCATCATCATCATCATCACCACGACCATCATCACCATCGTTATCATCATCCCCTTGTCGGTTTTAAATTTCATTATTTTAAATTAGACAACACCTTTCACATTGGGCATCCATGGCTAGACCCAAACCTGTTTAAACAGTTGGCCCTTAACATCCCCACTGGTTCGTTGCCTTTACTTCCCGGACATTTCCTGGTACTAATTTTAGTCTCGGTCATCAATGAAGACAATATTAATTAATAAAAAAAAAAAAAAAAAAAAAAAAAAAAAAAAAAACTACGTGTCGATGTGGAATCGAACATATGATCTTTGGGCCAACGGGAAGACTTCTAGACACTGCGCAATAGTCGTTCCAAAGATTCATATGTTGTTTTGAAAAAACATTTTTGCTCTCTGAGTGACAGAATTTGACTAAGAAGATTTAATAAGTCAAACAGTCAATCAAATAATCAGTCAACAAATCAATTAATCAGTCAATCAATCAATCAATCAGTCAATCAATAAGTCAATTAATCAGTTAAGTAGTCAGTCAATCAATCAATTAATCAGTCAAACAATAAATCAGTTAATCAGCATGCCCTTTACAGAAAGTCGTCGCTCTCTTAACAGCACACCTGCAAGTCAATGCATCTTCAGTATCCTGGATAAACCTTTACGCTTGAGCCAAAAAACACCAGATTCGGAAGAGGATGCTGTTTACGAGCCAATTCTCCTCGATGTTCAAGTCATTCAGGATGTCGACGTTTTCTTCTTCTTCTTCTTCTTCTTCTTCTTCTTCTTCTTCTTCTTCTTCTTCTTCTTCTTCTTCTTCTTCTTCTTCTTCTTCTTCTTCTTCTTCTTCTTCTTTTTCTTCTTCTTCTTCTTCTTCTTCTTCTTCTTCTTCTTCTTCTTCTTCTTCTTCTTCTTCTTGTGTTCTAAGAATGTTTCTGTAGCATTTCAGTTTAACAGCTCCGATTTCTGACTCCAAGACTGAGTGAGAAACCACGACACACATCCAAGAGTTGCCAGGGGATTGACGGAGAGGACGTCAGACGTCAAAATCTGAGATGATCGTTGCCAAGGGATTGATGGAAAGGACGTCAGACGTCAAAATCTGAGAAGATCGCTGCCAGGGGATTGACGGAGAGGACGTCAGACGTCAAAACCTGAGATGATCGTTGCCAGGGGATTGACGGAGAGGACGTCAGACGTCAAAACCTGAGATGATCGTTACTGAGAGAGGCCCAAAATTCTGAAATAAATTCCATCCACGATACTGAAACAAATTCACGGCATGGAACGAAAAGGAGGGAGAGATAAATTGCAAGCTCCTTGTCACGTATACCGACATAAACGAATGAATAAGGTTAGTTGCGTATCCTATACAGGACGTTGCAGAACCAACCCTAACAGCTATTGGCTGTTGTGTGGTTTTTCCAGGCAAATTTACGTCCAGTAGTTTGCCATTGCCAACGGTCGGCTTTCTTGATACCACTGTCGAAACCAACGCAAGGCGCATGGCACGCAGCTGGGATCGAACCCGAAACGGATGAATATGATGAACAATTTCTAACTCGTATCGATTTCTCGTATCTATAGGGATTCCCCGTTCGATACCATTCTCAACGAGATCAAGACAGCCATCACATTGAACCAGAAGTACCCGGATGTCTTTGTCGGCTATGATCTGACAGGAAACGAAGTATTAATTAATCCCCTCGTCTTCTACATCGACGCCCTTCTCTACCCGGGAAGACAAAACCCACCCGTCAAACTGCCGTACTTCTTCCACGCTGGAGAAACCAGTGAGTGGCCGTGTGTGCGATAGTTCTTTACCCTGTATTTATTTGCTGATGTCACATGTCCAATATTATCATCATTATCGCCATTACCACTATCGTCATCACCATTGTCATCATCTACAAAGAAAAAAAAAACTAGGCAAAGCATTAAGGTCTACTGTGTTCGTAAACTGTTGCTGTGATTATTATTCGACATATACTTAGTTCTATAAATTTCTGTAACCTATGATGCCATTTCAATGGTGTGAAATGAATTCTGTCCGTATTCCATAGTTGTGGATTTCAAACTGTACGATAGACATGGCCAATAAGACATCTTTTTTTTGGGGGGGGGGGGGGGGGAGGGGGGTGGGGGGGAGGGGGGGTGCCTAGTTGAACTTGTTCTTAGTGCACTTGTATCCATGGCGAGGCGCATACGCCGTCTGGAGGTGACAGGTTCAATTGCCGGCACGGTAATTATATCTATCGACTTTTATGTTGTCTAGTGTGTTCTTCTATCTCTACTTCTTTCAATGAGTGCCGATCAATACACTTTCTGTTACTTGATTAATTTATCATCTACATTTGGTTACTGATTCATATGGACATTTTAAGCGATGAATTCAAGAAAGCTATAGAAATAAGAGAAAAGTCTGAACAGACAGTAGTATCAACAGTTAAAAGAAATAAAAGACGGCGATATTTTGGGCATCACTGACAAGAAGTCAGCAGAGAATCACAAAAGAAGGCACTGAAACTGAATTTAAATGGACTGAGCGAAAGAAAGCAGCATACAACAAAATTTCGTCTACGAACAGGACACTGCAGACTCAACTTCCACATGCATAAAATAAAGATTGTACAGTATTTCAGACTTTACCACAAACACATCAGCACATTCTTCAGACCAGCCCACTCTACCTACAACTTCGAAAATAAACCTGGCTTCAAGAGCAAAGTGTGCAGATCAAGCTATTAGGGGCCATGCAGGACCTGATGCTGACACGCGAGTTCTTGGAGGCAACCCACCTGATGGTCTGATCTGAGCATGCGAAACCGAGCGCAAAGAAGAAGACACTAGATGCGGAGCTATTTTCTTCTTTGTCGCCTTCACTAGCTGTAAACTCCGGCAAAAAGATCTGGTTGTTCGTCCACTTAGGGACTTCATGTCTTGCTCCAGTCTTATTTTTTGCATGCACATCTTTTTACAGATTTTGTTTACTTGCATACAGACTGTAGGTTGCTTGCCTCTCAGGCAAACGCATTTCGACTTCGAAGGAACCCCCTAATGAGTCGACTCTTACGATATGTTTATTAGAGACGCAATGGGTCTATTATTTCCCCCATCGCAATGGCATCTTAGATCCCCCAGGGGTAACTGTGTTTCATATGCAAGGCTTTATTGCACTAAGATGACAACCGGGGAGACTGTGTGTCATATACCAGGCTTTGTTGCACTAAGATGACAACCGGGGAGCCTGTGTGTCATATGCCAGGCTTTATTGCACTAAGATGACAACCGGGGAGACTGTGTGTCATATGCCAGGCTTTGTTGCACTAAGATGACAACCGGGGAGACTGTGTGTCATATACCAGGCTTTGTTGCACTAAGATGACAACCGGGGAGACTGTGTGTCATATGCCAGGCTTTATTGCACTAAGATGACAACCGGGGTAACTGTGTGTCATATGCCAGGCTTTATTGCACTAAGATGACAACCGGGGAGACTGTGTGTCATATACCAGGCTTTGTTGCACTAAGATGACAACCGGGGAGACTGTGTGTCATATGCCAGGCTTTATTGCACTAAGATGACAACCGGGGAGACTGTGTGTCATATGCCAGGCTTTATTGCACTAAGATGACAACCGGGGAGGCTGTGTGTCATATGCCAGGCTTTATTGCACTAAGATGACAACCGGGGAGCCTGTGTGTCATATGCCAGGCTTTATTGCACTAAGATGACAACCGGGGAGACTGTGTGTCATATGCCAGGCTTTGTTGCACTAAGATGACAACCCGGGAGCCTGTTTGTCATATGCCTGGCTTTATTGCACTAAGATGACAACCGGGG